GGAGTTAGGGGCGAAACCTTTCATCTGACACTCTATCTATATCTATAGCTAGATCAATTCCTATTATTTCTCACCCGAAGGAACTCAACTACCTTTCGAGAAGACCGAGACGAGAATCACGAGCTACCTTCCCTTCTGCCCTTTGTCCCGAGAAGCACTTCGCTTGAGAGAAAGAGCAGTCAGACTACTAGGGGAATCAGAATATCTTGAGCCAAGAAACCGCGCGGAAGGCGGGAAAGATGACAATTCAGTTGGAATCCACAAAAGAAGACAGAAAAACATGAAGTCAGGGGGAAAGAGGGGAACCTAGGGAACGTAAACTTTGCCCCGGACTCGGGGGGTTGAGAGGTTTAGGCTTACTTTTCTTTGGCAGCGGGTTCACTGAACTGAATTCTATAGTATACCGGCTAGTCTGGTGGTAGCATCGGATTACCGGTCACTAGCTTTTTAGCAGCGGTTAGCAGACGCAAGGTGAAGCTGCTCCTAGGCTCGCAGGCAAGGGAGGATGAGAACTAAATTGCCTTATCTTTTCTTTCCCGAGGTCTTTCTGCCCAAAGCAAGCTAGCTAGAAGCAGAAACTCCTATTTAAGTAAGGCCAGCTGTAAACAAAGCAAACAAAAGATTCGTGGTTGTACCAATCCCATCGGTCGTAGTTCATACTCTACCAGCTAACAGGAAGTAGAACGAGAACTCTTAAAGGCGCATCAGCGATATCAAGAAGGAAAGGAGCCCTTTAGCTTTTGGGGACATGTAAGACAGCCTAGCGGATCCTTTTTAATGTCCATCAAAGGGAAGACGATTTCCGACATTCACCCTCAAAAGGAGGCCGTCCATGCCTGTTGAAAGTTCCTTGCCTCTTGTGCCGTGCGTGAGCTGTGCCCGCTTTTCCCTCACAAAGCAAAGCATTTAACCGGCTTCCCTAAAGTCAAGTGAATTAATAGGCTAAACTCTCACATTTATTTCTTCCGGCTTAGCCGAACTACTTACCTCGGGTCAGGAGAGTCAGAACTGATAGCCATTTCCATTTTTCATGGCACTTCATACCTGCAACAGAGTGAAAGCTGCGGTAATGCCCATTCTTGCAATAGAAGAACTCTCCCTTTCTGGGTCTGCTTTGCTAATGCACTGATAGCTATGATTCTTCGATCTCGAAAGTGAAAAGATCAGGATTGGATGCTTACTTCGCTTCCTTTCCTTCCTTGCCGCTGGCTTTCCAAAACAGCCTAACAGGATTGGTTGGATGCTTTTCCTTGCTCCATCTACCATTCCTGACAATCCATCCTATCTTTAGTAGTAGCCTAACCTAAGGCTCCATGATGGATCTTCTGCGCTAAGGCGGCTAGCATCTCATCCCATCTATCATCTACTTAAAGTTGCTACGTAGGGAGAATGGCTAAGGCAGAAAAGACATCCATGCATGCCACCCATAGTAATCTGACGGATAACATCCATCAGCCATCTATGAACAGAGTTTAATAACCTCTGATTCAGCCAGTTTCCTATGGCAAATATTCGTCTCTTCCCCGCTCCTTCAACCGACTGACCCAGTCGTTCGAGGTAAGGACTCTGACAGGAGTAGGATCGTTGGGAATGACCTCCTTTTCAAATGAGGCCATATCCATTCGACTAAACAACGAGTTGTTTTCGTCGAAACAATACCTAACTCTTGGGTACCACAGTACACCTAATAATGAGGGTCTTTTACTTCCTTCTGTTACCTTTCGGTACCATGAATTAAGTTCAAAAGGCAAGGAACGTAGTAACTCGACAGTAAGGAGAGGACCGAAAAGTCCTCTTCGTACCTCTCCATTTGATTGACCTCACTGAAACCGGTTTAGCTAGTTTTATCAACACCCTGATGAGGTCCTTTATGTATGGACCCCAAAGGAGGGCACCCTCAGGTGTCAAACCTAAAGGAACTATCGGTTTACAAGACCGGTAGGCCAGGTTGGCTCTAGCATAAGGAGTCAACTCACAAAACATAAAGAAAGTTGCGGGACTCACAGAGTAGAGATGCCTGAGAGGTATCCGTAATCGCTGCAGCGACTAGGACATTGGCTTAACAGGCCAAACGCCTTAGGGCAACAAAATAAAAAACCTTCCAAACAAGGCCGAACCGGACCAACTGAGAGTCGGTCGATTCAACCTGCCATTTCCGGTTCACGAATGGTGCGTCTAAGAGATCCTGGATGGTTACGCCTGGAGATACTGCAACCATGTAGTACCACTTGACGCAGTTAAGCCATTGTCGGACCCACGACCTTACCTTAAGGTTATGTACTCCGCGAACTCGCGACTACCATCGGTCGGTGACGATAACCTCGTCAGGATAGAGGCACAGGTCCTTTGGAGCCATTTCCCTGCGGAAAAAATTTACAAAGATTCCTGACTCTAACAAGTAAGCAAGTAAACTACCTTTAGGAATTTGAATTCCATTCTTCGAAATCCCCTCCTCTTCTCTTAAGGCAGTCGAGGGAAGCGGTTTATGGGGTGGGCTGCTAAGGCCCGGGGAGCAAAATCGGGTCAAACATCGATAGGGAGAAAGAGGTAAATGACTCTTCCTTTCCTCCCGATTGGCAATGATATATCTTTCTTCTGCCATTGCGAGACAAGACAGCTTCGTTCGGGCGATCTAACCAACTTAGGGAAGGTATGCCCTCTCTGCTTCTCCACTCGAACCATAACCTGAACTAGAAATGGAACTGGAACTTCAGCTGCCAAAGGAATGAAACAAATGCTCAACACATGCCTCCTATTGGAGAAGCTTCTTTCATTCATTTCCCTTACCAGCCGGGACATCTGCTCCTAAAATGGTAACTTCACTCTGCCCGCTCCGTTTGGTTCATCATGTGGACAATTCCTCCACAAAAAATATTATTGTCTGGAAATGCATGCTTTTATGGAGGGGTTATTTCCCTCGTCGCTTACCCGCATTTCTCTTGGTATACCTACCAGTGTGCCTCCTAATTCCGTGAAGTCCTTGGAGCATGTGCTATTTTTTCAGGATCCTTGTCAAGAAAGAAGTCAGTCCCTTCTTATTTCTTTTATGTTAAATTACTCGAAGAGGGAGTCGATTCACGTACTTCACCATTTCCTGGGTCGTTATCGCCTTTCCCCGCCCGGTTCGGTTCTTTCTCTATTAAGAAAGTCCCGGTGTGTCATTGGTCTTTCGTTCGTAGTGGGCCTAAGTAACCTAAATAGTCAAGTGAAAGGGGCCCGCATACATGTTAAAAAATCTAAGCGCGAGCGAGCCCTCGTATCCTTCTTATCTCTGTTCTCTGTGAGTAGCGGGCGGTTTTTGCTGTCAAAGTGCGGGTTTGTCAAGGGAAAGCTTTCTGAGCTGTTGATTTTCGACTTCCTTCCCTCGACAACTATTTTAATAATAGATCTTGACTACTGACCATGGGCGGGGTCGGTTAATTTTTTGATGTTTTCTCTCTGGCAACGAGTTTCATTTTTCCAAAGATGGAACTCGGCATACGCGTAGGAGCGAACAAGAAGAGTTGTCACAAGGAGCTTTTAGTGTCAACCACAAGAAGCTCTAAAGAGTAGCTTGAACCTTTCTGAGTTACATAGCTGACTACGAGAAGGAAGGTAGGAGGCATCCCCTTCTATTGAATCAAAAGGATAATATTATTATACTTAGTGAATTCCTTATGCCCTGGGTCTTGGAATCAATACAAAGAATTGAGCCTCACTGACCACTCTTTCAGCTTAAGCACCTTCCTTTCGGGCATTGGAAATAGCCTTAGTTCCAGCGGATCCAGTCATTCGAATCGACTTGAGTTCTCACTAGGCTTGAGCATTCCATAAAGAAGGACGGACAGGTGAATGCTAAAATGCTTCTTCTTCGCTGCCTCACTTCTTTACAACAGGAGCAGCTTCCTAATCGACATCGGTCAGCACCTTGCCCCCTTCCATGACAGAACTAGAGAGCCGGTCTTTTTCCCGCCCTGAAAAGAGTCAAAGTGAAATAGGGAGGGATTTAGCAGCCGTTATGGTAGACTTGGATGAATCTCAATCCGAATGAGTGACCAGATCCCTAGGTGGATCCGTCTTTGCTAGATCCATCAGAAGCATGAGAGAAGAACATGGGACTCTTGGGAACAAACAAGAGGATGTGTGATACTTTATTTATTTGCCGAACCAGGTACGTGGTCCTTCCCTGTTTGTTGGTCGACCCTAATCCTCCCATGAGCGCCATCTTTTCACCTCCTCTTCGATGCGCTCCCACGACTCGCTGTTGGGATTATTAAGGTCTCGCATTAAGTTGACTAGGAAGCTTACTTGTTGATTTTCTGCTAGATCTTCCACATCTTCGGCAATGTAGTTTGCCGCATCTTCCACCGCAGCGTCCTGGGGTTAATCCCCTTTCCTGAGCTATTTCCTTCGCTCGTTGGCCTATGGATTTTTTAATGTTTTCCACCTTGAGCAGGTGACGCTCACTTTCTTTCCATTCCTTGGAGTTACGCAGTTCTTCCTCTTTCCTCCTTTCCTCAGCGTCTACTGCATCCCAAACTTCATCTTGTTTCACTTCGCCGTGTAGACCTTGATCAATAGGGGGTACAACGGGATTACCCGGGTTAGAGCTTGATGCGCCCGAAGACGGCCCAGCTTCTTCCATACAAGAGAAAAAATCTTTGAAGAGGGTTCCATTCACCGCTTTCACGGCGAAAAACAGAACAAGAGCCAGCCTTCCGGAGCAACCTGTCAATTTTAGAAATGGTATAAATATGGCTCGCGTCGTACCGGAGTATCCCACCTTTGAGAGCAAGGCCCAAAAAACTTCACTCTCACCCAAGATGAGACAAAGTAAATAGGAGACACCGACTAAGAGAAGGAATGAGTATAGAAAGTTTTTATTTCTCATGACACTAGGAATAGAAAAATTAGGAGTAATTCTTTGGATAACGAAGCTGGGAAAGCTGCAGTAATTCTTTGGAAAAGCCCGGTTCTCTTTGTATTCGAGCTTTAATTCCTAAATCCACTGTTTCGTTCCTTCATATACCTCCCCACCAATAGATAGAGACAAATGGGAATAACCGAACCACGTCTACAAAATGCCAGTACCATGCAGCTGCTTCAAAGCCAACGTGATGCTCCTTGGTCAGATGACCAAGATATTGGCGAATACCACATATGATCAAGAAAAGAGTACCTATAATCACATGAAAACCATGAAAGCCAGTTGCTAAGAAAAAGGTAGAACCATAAATACTATCCGAAATAGTGAAGGGTGCTTGATAATATTCCATTCCTTGAAAGCCAGTGAATACTAGAGCCAGTGAAACGGTTGCTACTAAAGCGTAAACTGCTCGTTTTTCCTTCCCCGCGAGTATAGCATGATGAGCCCAAGTTACGGCTGCTCCGGATGAAAGGAGAATAGGGGTATTAAGAAATGGGATTTCCCGAGGATCTAAAACCCCAATCCCTTTTGGGGGCCAAATACCCCCGATCTCTACCGTAGGTGCCAAAGAAGAATGAGAAGAAGCCCGAAAAAAAGCAAAAAGGAACATAACCTCCGATACGATGAACGAAATAGAACCATATCGAGGTCCTAATTGTACGACTTTGGTATGATGTCCTTCCAACGTGGATTCACGTAGAACATCGCGCCACCATACAAACATGGTATATAGGATAAATATTAGGCCCAAACTGAGAAGTGTTGCACCCCCTTGAAATGAGTGCATGTACATCACACCTCCTACGGTGGTTGCCAAAGCTCCGAGTGAACCCGAAATAGGCCATGGACTTGGATCTACCAAATGATAAGAATGCCTCTGAGATTCAATCATAAACCACTTTGCCTCGGTTGTATGTAAACCCCCCCTTCACCCCCACCCCCTAAAGTGGTCAAGAAGGGCTCTTTTGGGTCTTATTATATTTCTATCTGACAGGACAAAGAAATAGGAAGGGATGGTTCTTTCATTGCATTGATAGAAGTCTAACTAGAAAAAGATCTCTAACTTTGAGAAGAGAATCGTTGGTTTGACCGACGAACTACGTGGGAAAATGGACCTTCTTTCCTTTCTTTTCAGCAAGCATTTTTTGATAGTACGAAGGGGGAATTGGCCCAAAAATTGAAATAGGTAGTCCCCATCCTGCTCAGAACCCGCCCCCGGACCATAATTGTGCAACAATCGTACAGGCACTCGCAAAATGAGGGCTCGCTGCCCCCTGAACGAGAAGGCTGTCGGCGGTTTCAAAAAGATCGGGGAGTGATGTCGAATTTGCCGTTAATAAATTGACCACCTGCTCCATATTGGTAGCAGGAGGGAGTGGAAACTGCGCACTTCGAAACAAAGAACTTAGTTGTTCTTCGATTTCACGATTCAATATGTGGGCGGTGTGGTGTTTGATCTGGGGAGATGCATTCGGTGAATGCTGAAGGTACGTAAGAATTTCCCCCAATACTCTGCGGAATCGTTCCATTCGAGTTTTGAAAACCAATTTATTATTCCTTACTCTTCTGAGTAAAGAATTTGAACTAATTTTAGTCGGAACACCCGCCGAGAGTGAATAACTAAAGAGTGAATAACTAAAAGTTATTTTCCTCCTATTTCCCAATAAGTCGACGGCGTTACACCATTGGGATACTTCGAATAAACTAGAGTACATATAGGATACACCGGTGCTAAAACCTTTTCTAAAGATATCTTCCAAACTGTTGGGGTCGTTGCTCCGGATTTTGTTCCCCCGGTTTGAAACCAGTTGGTTCCGTAGTTTTAGAATTCTGCTGATCCCAAGTACTCCATCTCCATCATTGCATATGGGAATATAGAAAGTAAAGAGGAAAAGGCATGACCAGAAGAATTGTGTGAAATAAGTGAATTTATCCAGTTGAGGCATGATTGATTGAGAAACAATGATTCCCTCCGGACAGAAAGAAAGAGAGTCCGGAGTCTTAAAGAATTCATTCTATTGAGTTGTGGTTGTTGACCAACAAATTATGCATGGGAGAAAGATTCACAAACGAAAACTAACAGAAAGAACGAAGGCCCTTCCAGAGACCTAAAACCTCCATATCAAGAGAAGGAATTGTCCACTGAACACTTTTTAAATGCAGACCAGACAGACAGTTATTTCTGACAGACAGAATCCCCCTCAAGAAAAAGAATCAAAATCGAAGGCCCTCTCACCCGTTCGCCACTTTGTTTTCAACTGTTCCCACCTCCTGGGCGAGACAAGCTACCTTCTTAGGTCAGAGGGGGGGTAGACTGTTAAGTGTATCCCCTCATGACCACTTTCAAACGTCATAGCAAGCCCGGAGCTAATATTCTGGCAAAAGCAATAAATAATGTTCAGCTCATTATTTAGAGCCAACCCGCTATAAGATAGGAAAAATAGAGAAATGAAGCAGGCCACGGGAAAAGAAATTAGCCCCAAAAAGAAACTTATTTTTGCTTCTTCTTCCTTAGTCAGATTTATTCTAGTTCTAGAAGTCTGACTAAAAAAAACAACGGAACAACTCAGAAGGAATATTATAAAAAAAGTAATAAATAAAACAATATAAGAGTTCTCCGCGATTTGTTTTAATAATAGAGTTTCAGATATGTCGGGAACCGTTTGTGGGGGGGCCTAGTTACCGGGATACAGTCCCTTCACAAAAATTTTATTCCAGGAAGCCCGGAATGAAACTGGCAGCCCTAAAGCGGAATTGTACGCGAATACTGCTTTTAAGATAAAAATATTACCAAGAGCCAGACTTGCAGATAAAAAGGATATGAAAGAGAAAAAAAACAATTATATGAAAAAATGGGCCATATATTAAAGAAAATAATATATGCATTATCTTGGTGGTCATTACTTTTTGTTTTCTTTTTGGCTGACTCCTCTTCCTGTTCTATTGATCAAAAGAAAGGTTCTAGTTCATACGAACGTCTGTTACGTGCGTACCTAGGACTGGGCCGGATTCGAACCGACCAAGAAAAGGCAAGTGTCATTCTTCTAGGCCAAAGAAAGACAGTCCAATCATCTATGTCGAAGGGGCAGGTACGTAGTCACTCGAGCGAAGCGACAGCTTATATCATATAAGAGATTCTCCATCTAGACGGGGCTAGGTAGCACTAAGAACTTCATTCGTACTATCTTGGCAAAGAGTGAAGGTTTCATATTTGTTCTAGAAAGTATTCGTTCCCGTGTAAAAGCAAAATTGTTGAGACCAAGCAAGGAGGCACTACTGTAGAGCTCTTTGGGCCTGCCGCTTTCTCAATCGAAAATGGAAACTGTCAAGATTAGCCTACTGAACGATTCTTTCTATCATTATATATGTAATTTCAGGATTTATTTTCGTTGATCGGATCGCCACACCCGGCTTTCCTTACTGACCGCCAACCCAATCTCGATGTTTGAAAGATGTTCTGTTCACATACTCGTTTTCACACATAGGAACAGATAGGCAGGAAAAACTACCCTTTCTAGAAAGAAGGAGCCTTATTATTTATATACATGAGAAACTAGTCCAAGAACCTCCTCAGCTTCACTCAGAACGACTAACTAGGTCGATGCCTACTCCTCCTTCCTCTTAATCTAATCGACTCATCCTTCCGTTCATTCTTATTCTTACTTACCATACGCATTTTTCAATGAAAGATGCCAAGGTAGGTATTTAGGCGGTTTTTGTGGATTAAAAGACTAGCGATCAACCCCCAACTATATATTCCATTATATATATACGATGAAATAAGAGGCGACCTGCCCCAGAAGCTTGCAGAATACTTTCTATGGACAATCAGTAGACTGGCTGGCGAGGCCAGGTAGATCTCTGTGGGGTCCCCTTCTCCGCTTCAAATGGGAAGGCCAACATCCTTTTGTCGCCCGTTAGCAAGACCGAAACTAGATGCGTCGAGCTGCCTAAGGTCTTGACCACCTCCTCTTATTTAAAGGATAAAAAGTTGTATTGTACCATAAAGTGCAAACTAGACTCCGCATCTAGATCAAGTTACCTTTCAAACAGCGTATTCTCGGCATCAATGCACCAACCCCTGGCAAGACCCGATCGGAAATAACCCAAGAGGAATTAGAAGAGTGGCTTAAAAGCTCCTTTAAGCCATCAAATTTCCCTTCATTTACACGAGATTAATATTTCTTTTTGGGGATTCCACTAATAGACAGATTGGATAAGAATCTTACTCCCGCACCGGAACTCTTGCTTCTTGGCCAAGAGAGGCTTCTCGCTGCAATCGATTCCTAACATCTGATCGGCCGGCGATTGTGAAAAAAGAATAGGAGTCCTTTAGCCTTCGGTCAATAGGAGTAATTATTCCCTCTAGTAGGTCAGTCAGTCTTTAAATGTGTTCCATAGAATAGAAGAGAAAGAGTCAGTCTTTACTCCTTAGTCTGCCGCTATCTTTCATCCCTTAATTGCCTTATCTTTTCTTTTTCTGTTGTAAATGTAAACCGGCCATTTGTTAGGATCTTATCGCCGTAACTAGTAATAGGCTTATCTGCCGTTTCATTCGCATTATCGTGAGCGGGTCTGGTGAACTACCCTTTCACTGGTTCTAGCTACTATTGGATTTAAACCAATAAAGTATTCCAACTCTGCCTTTTAGGGTAAGATACCCTGGCTTTCAGTTGCAGTACTGGTCATTGGCGACCTTGGGACGCATCTCAAGTGTACTGGGCACCCCCTCTTTGCTTATAGACTCAGCACAGAAAAAGCAAGGCTCTCCTTTGAGATCAGGATGTTCTACCGCTTTTCCCAGGGAAGGCATATACTACTTGTCGCTACTGCGAAAATCGGCGCCGGCTGAACAGAAGAGTCGCCACCGTGCGTTATTTATCCCACGGGAGGGAAAGGAAACGCTCAGAGTAAACCTCGCACAACACGGGAAAGGTATGGTCATCGCAACCAAAACCTGGATTCGGGAGTCGGTTACGCAAGGGGAAGGTATTAGCACCCCTCACGTCCGTCGTACTCGACGGGATCCACGCTTGTTTTCGGGTATGGATTGTTATTCTATCTACTCTACAGGTCTGGGGTTAAAAGAAAAGAAAATGAAAATAAAAAATGACTCGGCAAAGTATCGCACTTTATGCCTACGTATTCCCGTCTGGAACGAGAAATCAGAGTCAACGTAGTTCGCCTACCTACAGGAAAGGAGGGGAAGGTTGCTCGCTAGGATATCGCATCCTATGCCTACGTACTTCCACACTGCATGGAAGATCAGAGCAAACGTAGTTCGGGCTACGTACGACACAAGCTTGTCCTTGATTGATTTTATTCCTTCTGAAAAAGGTTTTCTTGATTAGCAGTCCCGGCGGACAAAAATGACGTCTTGATGAGTTCACACTCTTTTACGGAAGAAGTGTCTTTTATTGTGTTTGAAATCTTTATGTGTTTTTCTGTTTGTTTTGAGAAAGAAGAGACAGAACTCTAACCTACGGTTGTGAAGGGAAACAAACTAACCTAATGTTATCATGCATGGGTTAAGACCTAGTGTCTATCATGCTCCTCTCTTGCACAGAGAGAAACAGAGATCCTACGGGATAGGCAGAAACAGAAACAATAACAGATATAATAAAGCAGTAAAATGCATGGATGCAGCAATACAAGCGAGGCAAGGGAGTCCCACTCAACCTCGAACCTAGAAAACAATAGGCAAAAGTGAACAGGCTTCACTTTCAACCCAGCAGGGTAAACAGCAAACAATACAGTTCAGAAAACCAATCAATACATCAGCAAATGAAATACAGCAAAAGAGACAGCATCAGCAGCTCTGAATCAACATCTGGCTTCAAGCAATCTCCAATCAGTTACAGGCTTCAACAAGCATCAATCTCCATCTTCATGGCCTTCAGACAAGGGCTTTGACATCAATCTTCCATCTGCAATGGCTTTTCTTCAATCTCAAACCTCCAGGATGAGGGATCAGTCACAAGAGTGAATTGAGTGTTAAGCAATCAGCTGACTACCAAAGGTGGTGAACAAACTGCTTCTAACACAAGAGACATTTTCTCTCAAGAGTTCTATCTCATAGACACCATCACCAAGCCTTCCAAAGGAAGGGGGTGAGTGTCTTGGAGAGACTCTGAATCACAGAGAAGAATGGATGCAGACAAGGCAATCCATGTTTGAGAAACCATCATTCTAATCTAGAGCTCTGCCTAGCTCCTAAACCCTAGTCTCCTCAGCAACTGCTAGCAAGAAACTCATCCTCAACTCTGACAGTTGATCTTCAGCATTTGAATCTCCAATAGGCTTCATCTCCACAAATCTTCAGCTTCCCCAGGGCCCCAGACAAACCCAATACCCATACAAACAAATCAATAAACCCCAGGGGGCACACCACACCAAACAACAGATATACAGACAGAAATAATAGCAGTAGGGGAATCCTATCTTTTCTCTAAGGGGTCTAATAGCTACCCATAGCCCCTATAGTCCCATAACTAAACTAGTTAAATCCTAAGTCCTAAGGGAAATGAAATCAAATTCCTAAGTTGTCACCTAAAAACCCTAGTTTTATTCATGATATTCAAGCATCTATTAATCACCTAAAATTAACCTCTAAAAATGGGAGCTAAAATATTTCTACAAGCTTAATATCTCATCTAAACAATATGAAAAGAATGATCAAAAAATATTGAAGCATGTAAGAGAACAAAAATCATAAAAAAGATGCATGAAATGAATCTATTTATTATGCTATTTATTTAGAAAATATGAAAAAAATATGAAATAAAACTAAAAATGAAATTTTATTTTCCTATAATATTCTAGACATTTTAATGAAAATATGGTAAAAAGAATGGATTAAAAAGCATTTTTTATGAATTATCTATGAATTTTTGAAAATGGTAAAAAATTAAAATGGAATTAAAAAATAAAATGAATTAAAATAAGA